GCAATTGGTCAGAGGAACAAGGAATACATGAATCCCATCTCAAGTTCTTATCACCCACTCTAATGAAGTTACTAAAGGAGAAATATGCACAAGAAATAATTGCAAGGAATATCACATTCCAATATAAAGAATCCTGGAAGGCAAGTCTGGCCACCAATTTTTCCGAAGCTAGTTAGGCTTTAGACTAAAGTAGGCAAAGGCAACTATTATTCCTATTTCACTATACCCAAAACCAACCCGAGTCTCGGATCTTTACTTTCTGGTCCCATGAAAAGAAGAGATAAAATAGAGAGGATGGCTGACCTTGCTTGGAGAAAGCCTTATGTTAGCTTGTGACATCTGTTGTATGTATAGAAAGAAAAAAGAAGTCAAGTCTGTTTGAAAGATTTCCAAACATTAACATACTCTTACTTTCTGGAATAAACTCATTAACAAATCCTGTTGGTTCTTCCAAAATATATCCAGAATCTGATATATTCTCACCACCTCCACTGCTATACCATGGTCCTGACAGCCATGAACTCATGCCTGGATTATAAGACTATCCTGTGAAGTGCTCCATTGCTTTCGCCTTTGCTCCTCCAGTCTATTCTCCACTCAGTTCCAGAGTGGTTCTTTTAAATTAAAATATAAGACAGATTATGTCACTTCTCTGTTCAAAATTGAAGATGGCCCCCCAACTCACTTGGAGCAAAGACCAAAGTCTTGTGGTTCTAACAGTTTACAAACCCCTACCTGAGCTGTCCCCCCAGCCCCCACTACCTCTCTGATTTCTCCTGCTATTCTCTCCTGGATCACCACAGCCACATTAGGCTTCTTACTGTAACTTGGACACTCCAGGAACACTTTTTCCACATGTTGTTCTTTTCTCAGCCATGGGGAGTTTCTTCACATGCATGTGCTGATCAGTACTCTGCTAAATACTTGAGGTGGATCCTTTGCAGATCTCCAGAACTTTCTCTCTGAATTGCTCTGTCCTTTCTGGTACTCTTTCCTCAAAACTCTAGCTGCCTCAGTCTCTTCAGACTTGCAGCTCCATCTTCTCAAGTCAGGGAGTATGCTGAACTCCACCTGTGTTCCTCCTCCCTACTCTCCAGCCTGCAAACTTCCTCCAGAGAGTAATCTCACTTTGTTTCTTGTCTCTTGTCTGTCATTCATCACTTGATATCTAATAACTTGAAAACCATTGTTTTATGTATGTTTGTCCAGATTTCCTAGTTATTTTAGGTGGAAGGGGAAATCCAATTTCTGTTACTCCATCTTGGCTGGAAGCAGAACCTCTTAGCACTTCTTAATTCCCTTTCCTGCTTTAGTTTTCATCCACAGCACTTACTAACATCTGACACATGCTATATGTTACCTATTTATTTACTTATTGTTTTTCTTTCTCCCCGTTAGAATGTAACTCTACAGGGGATCTTTATTTGTTCACTGACGTATCTTTTGACCTAGAGAAGGGGTTGGCACATTGTAGGTACTCAATAGTTATTTGTTAAATGAATGAATGCAGAGAGTGCCAGCATCAGGAAGAATTTTCCAGAACCATCAGACTGTGGTTCTACTTTTACAAGAAATCCTAAATGTCAGCAGAGTCTGTGTTTGTGGGTTGGATACTCTGTTAGTTGCAAGAGGCTATCACCTCCTCAGTCAACACCCCTTTCTGTGGAACACTTTCTCATTCCTCTTGCCATCTCCCTTAAAGGACTTTGCTTACCCAACACTCCTTAGCTGGATCACAACTCTGAGAAGCATGGATGGAGGGTTTTAAATTTCTTTTTAAAATAATCATTTTACAACCAAGTATATATGTGTTTCTTCTCTACACCCAACCCTAAGCAGCTGCTACTTAATCCTCATCTCTTTCTTTGTATAAAACATGAACGTTAAAGGCCTTTTTAGCTCATAAGGGTGGAAGTTCAGGTGGGAATGAATCCAAGGGAAACTTTGGACTCACTCAGCAGGGGTGGGCCAGCTAAATAACAGCACCTTTTCCCACAGACTTCCCCTTGTCACAGCTCTGTGCAAGGATTTCCCATCTGTCAGCTGGTCCATTCAGCAGTTACTCACTTGAGGAACCTAAGTTAAGTGTGCGCATGTGTGAGCATGTGTGAGCATGTGTTTGTGTTCATTGCAATGTGTAGAGGTTTCTGGGAGAATTTTTCTCTATTTCAGTTTTTATCTGGGTTTCATTTTGGTCTCAAGACTTTTGTACTGAGAGATTCTCTTTCCTCTCATGCCTTATTGGCTTCTTGTCATCCTTTAGGTCTCAGCTCAAATATTTCTTTTGAGAGAACTTTTCTTCCCAAACTGTTTAATGAAAGTTTCTCCTTTTACTATAATTTCTGTAATCTCCTCATTGCAGTTACAACCTTCTGTAATTATCCAATTTATTTATTAATTTACTTGATTATTGTTAATTTCTTCCTCTGATATGACATCCACAGGGAGAGGAACTTTGCCTGTCTTGTTTGCTTTTTTCCGCCTGTGTCTTGAATAGGGCCTGACACATAGCAGGTGTTTAGAAAATATGTATTGAATGAATGAATTCACTGCAGAACAAGGTCACAAGAATACTAATGAGAGAGTGCAGAATTTATATGGAATTGCACCCTTGTGTATGGCTGGGGTAAGAACTGAAAAGACAGAGTGGAGCTTCAGGGCCAAATCAAGAGGGCCTTGAATGCCCTGCCATGGCAATGGCTGGATTTTATCGTCAAGGTGATGTGAATCTATAGAAAGGCTTAAGCAAGGGAAGACAAGTCAGATTTATATTTTAAAATGATCAATCTATCTGTAGGGTGCTGAATGGATTAGAAGAGAATAAGACATGCTACGAAGGGACCAATTTGGATACTGTCGTAGTAATCTGTGAGAGATGATAAAACCCCTAAGTAATGCCAATGACAGTGGAAGTGAAGGAATATTTGAAAGACATGAGGTAGGAAAAAAATAGTTTTATCAAAAGTGGGAAATAAAGAAATTAGAATGGAAAGGAGGAGAAACAGAGCAGCCAGAAACTTAAGTGGGTCAAACAGAGCAAAGAAACATTGATATAAAATGAGTCTGGGTTGGACCTCAGTGAAAATGATGGAATAAGAAGCTCTGAAGATCCTTTCCCCTATAAAGGCAGTGAGAACACTGGCAAAAATTGTCAGAACCAACTCTCAAAGCTGTGAAAATTAACCAGAGGCTTGAAGTAATTTGGGGAACATTTATTCAAGAAAAACAGCTGGATCTTGGATGAAAAGTTGGTATGAACAGTAGAGTTTTAATTTTCCCTATTCATACCTCCTTATTTCTAGCTCCATGATAACCTTGAAAAGCAATAACCTGTAATCACAGTAAAACTAGCAGCCTGCTGTCCGCTAGAGAGAACAGAACAGGGTTGGAACTCCTGAAGCCCTATTTCCAGAGAATTATCATTATTTGATCTGTCTGGTGGTTTCCTGGAAGACCCTGTTCTCAAGGCTGTCCTTATTTAACTAATTCAGAGCTTAACTTAGTATGAAAATCTTTTCCTTATGGGCACTTGTTGAAAACAAAGAGGGACAATTGCTTAATATCACAGCTTCCTGAGATAGTGGATAACAATTGGGACAAATAACAGGGTGACAAAAAGCTTAAAAGGAAAAGCTCAGGAATGACATCTCCAAATGGGGCTTTGAAGAGCTTTGACATATTCCAGAGAATCTAGAAGCCCATGTTCATGCTTTAGTTTGTGTGAATACTTGGGAAAGACCTGAGGAGGCTCTAAGTAGTCATCTGTGGCTAACTTTGAGGCTCTTCTCAGGGGGAAATGAAGGCTAAGGCAGAGTCGTAAACTGACTAGCTGAGTGTTGAAGTCATAGCCAGAATGTACACAGAACCCTTTGGCAAAGACTGAGAGACTTATTGGTTCTAGGAATTTAAGAAAATCTCTGTCTAATTATTAGCTGACCTGTAAGCTAACAAAGCAGAGACTTCAGTGTTGACACATGTCAAAGAATATAGACCTTACAGGATTAGTTCAGTAAACTCACTAAACAAACAATATCAAAAACAACGAACTCTAGTTGGAGGATGGGGGAAGTATCTGATTTCTAAAATTGCCATATTTAAAATGCTCAGTTTTGACAAAAAATTATGAGATATGCAAAGAAACAAGAAAGAATGATCCTTGCTCAGGAAAAAAAGCAGTCACTAGAAACTGGGGAAGCCTAGATATTAGACTTACTAGACAAAGACTTTACATCAGCTATTTTAATATGTTCAAAGAGCTAAAGGAAAACATGTCTAAAGAACTGAAAGAAAACATGAGAATTATGTCTCATCAAATTGATAATATCGGTAAGGAGATAAAAATTGTAAAAAGGAACCAAATAGAAATTCTTGAGTTGAAGGTAACTGAAATGAAGAATTCACTATAGGGTAACAAGATCAGATTTAACCAGGTAAAGAGGAAAAGTAAGTAAACTTGAAAATGTGTAATTGAAATTTTCCAGTCTGAGGAACAGAAAGAAAAAAGAATGAAGAAAAATGATCAGAGCCTGAGAAATCTGTAGGACATCATCAAGCACACCAACATACATATGATACAAGTCTCAAAAGAGGAGGTAGAAGAGAGGGTAGGAAGGGTATTTGAAAAGAAATAATGGCTGAAAGCTTTCCAAATATGATGAAAAACTTTAATGTACACATCTAAGAAGCTTAACGAACTCAAAATAGGCTAAACTTGAAGAGATACACACTTTTTTATGTTATAACCACAGACAAAGAGAGAATCTTGAAAGCAGCAAGGGAGATGGGACCCATCATGTACAAGGGAATCTCAATAATATTAATAGCTGATTTCTCATCTGAAACCATAGAGTCCAGAAGATTGTGAGGTAGCATATTTAAGGTAGTGAAAGAAAATAATATCAACCAACAATTCTTTATCTCACACAACTATCCTTCAAAAATGAAGATAAAATTAAGATATTCCAAGATAAACAAAAACTGAGAAAATTCTTCACTTGCAGGTCTACCTTATAAAAATACTAAAGGAATCCTTCATGCTGACACAAAGGACACCTGAGAGTAACTCAAATATGCATAAGAAATACAGAACATCAGTAAAGGTAACTACACAGGTAAATATAAGCATGGTATAAATGTACCTTTTGTTTGTAACTATTTTTTTCTCCTGCATGATTTAAAAGACAATTACATGAAGCAATAATTATAAATCTGTGTTGATGATCATATAATGTATGAAAATACAATTTATATGACAATAACAATACAAAGGAAGGTTGAGAGAATGATGTTATATGGGAAAAAAATTTTGTACACTATTAAAATTAAGTTGGTATTAATCTGAACTAGATTTTTATAAATTAAAATCTATATTACAATTCCTAGGGCAACCACTGAGAAAATGGCTGAAAAAATACTGAAAGAAACAAGAGGATTAAAATATCAGACTGAAAAATACCTATTTAACGCAAAAGAATCTAATGATTTAAGGAGGGAGAAAGAAAAAAGACATAAGATATACAGAGAACAAATAGCAAAATAGCACACATAAATCCTACCTTATCAGTAATTACATTAAATATAAATGTATTAAACACTCCAATTAAAAGACAGAGATGGACAGAATAGATTTAAAAAATCATCTAACTATATGCTGTCTATAAACACATACTTAAATTCAAAGACATAAATAAGTTGAAAGTAAAAGAATTGAAAAAGTTATACCCTGGAAATAGTAGCCAAAAGAGAGCTGAATGACTCTACTGATATTAGACAAAATAGACTTTAAGTAAAAAAACTGTCACAAATAAGGGTGTTATAGGTAGATAAAAGGGTCAATTTACCAAGAAGATATAACAATTATAAACATATAATTAAAGTAAATCTAACAATAGAGCCCCAAAACACATGAAGTGAAAACTGAGAGAATTGATGGGAGCTAGGGGCTATGTGACGATAATAATTGGAGACTTCAATACCTCACTTTAATAATGAATAGAACAGCTACGGAGAAGATCAACAAGGAAGTAGAAGACTTGAACAACAGTATAATCAACTCGATCTAACAGGCATCTACAGAACATTCCACCCCAAAACAGCAGAATAAAGTAAGTGTGAAGTATGGAATCAGGTAGGAAAGGTACAAAGAACTAGAATTGGGGGTAATTAGGGAGTGAAAACAACAAAGCCAGGGTGCACTTAAACTTAAGGGCATATGAAAAAGGCAAAGTGGGTTCACATGTTTGTGTCCCAGACCTTAAAGACACTCAGTTGTGTTTTCTGACATAATCTTTTTCATCAGGATCTAACCCCTAATCAGTCATGGTCTCTCCTTCCTCCTAACAGGTAAACCCTCAGGTTTAATACATTCTACTATCACCTCCAGCCTTCCCAAGAGATGAGCTTGCAAAAGTGTTGAAATTTGGGGCGACTAAAGACAAATGGTTTAGAGATAAGCAGAGATGAAAGGATGCGTGAGGTTACAGGTCAATTCTGAAGAGGATGGTACTTGAACTGGCAGTTGGGGAAGAGCGTCTTCTAAGAAACCTGGCTTGTATTTAAAGCATTGGTTCTCTCATCATTGCAACACAGAGGTATAGGACTGTCCATTACTACAAGTGCCTGAGCATTTTGGTGCAATGATTAAATGCTCTGCTTTGGCTGTAGCACCAGATGGATGTAATTCTGCCACTTAGCATGTGTGTAATATTGCACAGCTTAATCTCTTTAAGCCTTAGCATCTTTATTTGTAAGATAGTAATGATAACAGTATCTATCTCATAGTGTTGTTGTGAGAATTAAAAGAAAGAACAGTTAAGCCTTTAGCTCAGTGCCTTGTGAGTCCAGCACTTGGTAGATTAAATGTTTTTTCAAAGGGACCAAGTCTCATTAGGCTGGGGTTTAGAGTGCTGTCCAGGGGAAAATCATTCTTTTAATTTAGGTAAATTATTTTCTGGAAAGTTAATGCACCAGATCAAGCTATATTAAAAAAGAAATCCCAACAGCTCCCCATGGACTCACTCCTCCCTGCTGGCGTAGCCCATGGAGCAGAGGCATGAAATGGTTAAGCAGGAAAAACACTGACCTGCTCCACTGAGGGTGAGTGTTTATTAATACTACACAGGAAATATCAAGTCACCCTGCTTCCAGCCAATGGAGCAAATCGATTTATTTGCTGGGCAGCTCCCCCTACTCCTGCTTCATCTAACCTTTTTGTAAAAAGTTGTCAAATATAAAACTAACCTTTTATTGCTATAGCAAAGAAGCTTAGAGAAAAGCACAAACTGAAGCTGAAAATATGACCTCAGCTCAGGAAAGGAAGTGGCAATCACAAGGGAGGACAAGCGTGTGGGGCCCTTAGAGGGTTAATATACCCTGGAAGAAGATGAAGAATCCAGAGCGGACCAGAGCAGGGAGTCTTTCCTTGCTGTTTGCGGCTCAGGACTTTCATCCACATCTCAGCAAGGAGGAACGAGAAGCTGATTATTTTTGTATGAATACAACCTTAGATTATCACTCGACAAAAATGTAGTTAGTTTTTGTTTTAGAGCATGAGGTCAGTGCTTTTGAATTAACTTTGTTGTCACAAAGTTCTGAGGTAAAGACCCCCTACAGGTATTATTCTGTAGAGATACCTGAGCTGCGTGAACAGAATTATCTATTGCAGCCAAGATTCTGGTGCCCAGAGTGAGTAAAACTGGGTGGGTAGTAGCTTTCGGAGTGCTTCTTCAGCCAGTTTACTTCTGCTTAATGACAGCAGAGGGTTCATTCCCCCATAGACCACCCCCTCTCCCGCTTCCTCCACTGTCAAGTGAGAAACTCACGTGGATGATTTTGTAAGGTATCCCTGGTTCTAAGAGCCTCTGATTCTGCCATAACACTGACATAGCTCCCAATCCCCACCCGTACTGAAGCTGAGTAGCAAGAACTGAAACTTAAAGTGTGTTCCTCGGTCCTGGGGGAAGGGAAATCTAGCAATTTCCTAGTGACCTCATGCAGCCCAGCCATGGAGAGAAAGAGTAAGGAATACAAGGTGATAGGAGTAAGATTTACGTTGATATATTAGGTGACAGTTGCTGGCCATGGCCCACCCTTTCAGCAGGGTTAGAAGCTGCTAGAAGGTATTTTACCAGCTACGACATATATATGTGAGAAGGAGCCTCCTATTGGGAACTTTTCCAAAGTCTAATAAAGCTGTGCTTTGCTCCCTCTGACCTTGGCCCAGCAACAGGTAAGTCTCACAACTTCTACCACCTTATAAACACTGAGATGGGCTATAAGAAAGGACTATAGAGGCTCTATTTAGAGGCTTAGGTCAGCAAGTAGGCAGAAAAATGTCAAAACCACTAATCTAATTTATTGATGGCTTTAATGGGAGTGTATAGGAAAAGAGTTCTGCCTTGCACTGCAAATATTGCTCCAGCCCCTTCATCTGGAGAACCCCGAAGTTAAGAAATGGCCCGATGAGTACCCAGTGTTACTGTCAGATGCAGGTAGAGGAGGGTAAGGGAAGACAAGGAGGCGAGCTTAGAGGAGGGACCCCTCTGCCTTTCTTTCTTTCTCTTTCTTTTTTCCCTTTCTTTCCTTTTCTTTTTCTTCCTTCCTTCCTTCCTTCCTTCCTTCTTTTCTTTCTTTCTCAGACATAATTTGAGTGCTTACTATATGTCGTGGCACTATGTTAGGAATTAGAAATAGAGATATTAAGAACGCAAGTCTCATCATTGATTTAAAGTAATTGTATCAAAGACTTAAGTACTGAATGATGAACACGCCTAGTTCCTATCCATAAGGAACTTTCAGTTTAACAAACAATGCAGAATGTCATAGATAAATGGGTGAAGTGTCATAGGAATAGAGGAACTCATAATTCACTTTTTTTTTTTATTATTATTTTTCCTTTTTCTCCCCAAAGCCCCCGGTACATAGTTGTATACTCCCCGTTGTGGGTTCCTCCAGTTGTGGCATGTGGGACGCCGCCCCAGCGTGGCCCGATGAGCAGCGCCATGTCCGCGCCCAGGATTCGAACCAACGAAACACCGGGCCGCCTGCAGCGGAGCGCGCGAACTCAACCACTCGGCCACGGGGCCAGCCCCTATAATTCACTTTCTTAAGGCAATTTTGGTGAATAACTGTTAACCAATGTGGTGACAATTGAACTGGGTGAGGGTGACTTGGAGATTTCCAGCAGGAGGTGTGGGAAAAAGGCTTTCTGGGTGTGTGGAATGGTATGAAAATGTAAAAGAGGGTAGTAGTAGTGGAGAACAGTGTGGCATTTAGTCTCATTGGACCATAGGGCTAGGAAAAGGGACATGGGATTGTTGGAAGATGAGGCTGGTAAGGTCAGTTGGTACAGATTATGGAGGGTCTTGCCAATGCAGGTCTTCAGAATTGTTTCTAGCTGTATGAAGCCATGAGGTAGACTTAAGCAGAGCGAATGGGGCAAGGGTCCTGATTAGATTTACATTTTATAAAGATCATTTTAAGGGCAGTGGTAGATGGAAGCTAAAAGATGAGTTAGAAAGCTGTTCAATAGGGTGTGATGAGAGGGGTTGTGAGTGAGAACCAAGACAATAGTAAGGGACGGCACTCCATGTCCAGACAGGAAACAGATGTAGACGTGATTAAATGTAGTAAAGCTTGGAAAAGCCATGTAGAATTAAAATGAAGGCAAGAGGCACAGGCATAATATTGAGGTACTTTCCAAGCCACCCCTGGTGGGTAGATGCCATCTCATTGGAAGAAGGAAAGTGACAACTGCTGATAAGTCTTAGACAAATGTCAGTATGGTAGATGCCCTGGAGGTTCTGGAAAATTTTAAATTCCATTGAATAGCAACCAGAATAATAACAAGGATCTTTTTGCTGGCCTGAATGGAGTTGCAGTGGTAACAATAACAGACAGCACAAAATAAAGTTGATGTTTTCTCCTTGGTCTTAGGGGCTGATGGTGACTTCAAAGAGGATGGAGAAAACGTCTGTATGTCTGAGCTGACCTCCTCAGCCAGCTGTGCTTGTCAGCCTCAGGCCTCAGTTTCCCCGTGGGTGTGAGTGGTCACCAACGCAATGCTCTAGTTCGGGCTACACTACTGAAGTAGTTGCGCGGCTGTGGGTATGTT